CAGAAGTAGGTAGACCAACGGAAGATGCCATGAGCGTGTTTAGGGAGATGAGGATGATGAAAAAGTAAACAAACGACAGAATAAACCTTCCAAGATCCGTCAGAATGCAGAGGGATAATAGGCACTTGTTGGAACAATAAATGTGCCCTATAACACGCCTTTTCCAGGTACAAGGCACATGCTCAAGGTGTTGACATGTTACCTGTTATTACCCCTGATAGCCCGGGCTGCCAAGAGGCGCGAGAAAATTGAATAGCCACACGATTTATCCCACCAGGTACCCATGTACCCTGCTGGTTATATACAGGCAAATGAATAAACACACTTGCCTGTATTCAGTGACTGGATATCAGTCTTGTTTCCAACCTACCGGTATATCACCCGTGCCTCCCCAGGAGCGCTCAGCTGACAGTGCATGCTGGCAAGAAAACGCACGTGTCATCCCTGTGATCTGATCCATTCACCTGGCTGTCACCTGGTCCGACGCATGTACTACCTGAACTGCCGACGCCTCGTGGGACAGCGGATTGAGTTTGAACCCTGGCCTCGAATAAAGCCGTGGTGTTGCTAATTCAGTAATAATAATAGTATAATAATAATGAATGTTACATATCGTGAAATCCAACCACAAGGTGGATGCTCAAGCGCTACAAAGTGAGGTTGGAGTTAATAGTACAGTGAAAGAGATGCGTTGAAAGATGTGATCTGAACGCAATAAAAAGATGGAAACAGTTTAGAGCGAGGAACAGACTATTCCACAGTGATAGCGCGCAACCCTGAAAGAGCATTCTCAATAAGAGGCCAAGGCAGTCTGTAAAAAAGGAGAATTCAATAAGAATTGCTTCCAGATCGCAGTTGTCTGGATGGTTGAAGGGGCAATTCACTGAAACGATTAGAAATTCTGGTGCTATGCCATTTAGACTCTTGTATGTGATACAGAGTACTTTAAACAACTGTACCGGTTGTTTGGAAGCCGTGGCCGGAGGTAGATTCCAATGGATGGCTCAGATGATGAAAAAATATATAGCTACCTTATACAATGCCAAGCGTAACAGATTGTCAAAGGGGAGACGAGATCGACAACCCCTGAGTCCCTTATACCAGGAGTTAAGGTGAGAATTGCAAATGCCCTTAACCAGAGAAGGATGGCAAATAGATGGCACGTGAGACCCGTCAACTTGTCGTAAAAGGTGACTAATGGGATCGGGTGGTGAGGCTTGCTGACGTGGGTAACATAAAGTGTCACCGTATCCCAAGTGTGTAAAAACCACCTCTGTAGTGTAGTGGTTAGAACGTCCGCCCGGAGAGCGGAAGGTCGCGGGTTTGATCTCAGACCGCGTCATACCAAATGACGTAAAAATATGGTACTTGTTGGTCCCTGCCTGGCGCTCGGCATTAATGGGTACAAGGACTGGGCGCCTCGGAGTCAGTATAATGTGTCTGAGTGGGGTATTCATGCTTCACTGCGGTATGGTATCTCAGTGGGCTTGCACTATAAACCCAGCTGAAGTCTGGGTTAGTACAAGCAGCCGCACATACACACGCATGCACGTCGTCATATGAGCGAAATATTCTCAAGGACGACGTGAAACCCAATGTCACCACACCTCACCAAGTGCGTAGATCGAAGCACAAGTTGATCACTGGAATGTCTGGTCCAGACTTGATGAATTACAGGTCGCTGCCATAAACTGGAATATTGCTCAGTGAGGTGTAAAAACTTATTACGCTCACTCCATGGTTGATATTCGACTACCCGGGTACAGACTATAAAGCATCCCAACTGTCTAAAAAAAAATAGACTCTAGACTATGGCTCTTGCTGGCGGTATACGAGTTCTACGGCTTACGACCCCCGGGGGCGTGCCCCAACCACTGCCGCTGCCGTTGAGCTGTTGCGGCTACAACCCCACCATGCTGGCAAAAATGATTGCCGTCCGTCGACCTTGTCGACATCCGTGTCAAGCTGATCCGGGACGTATCCTGAGATGCCAGCCCACCGACCAGGCGTGGCCGGAGGGATGGTGGCCAGAAGATCCGCTTGGCTGAGGGATCCCGTGGGTCCTGAGCATAGGGGGGTGGCAGGACGGGAAGGTCGGAAGCCATGGAACCATACCCGACGCCAGCATGAACCAGTCCGACAGACCTCGACCCGTGGTCTCGTCTGGGACGGTTGGATTGATAGCCATCTGTGTCTGTGTTTGTCCCGTGGACGCCGACAGATCAACAGACTGAGTAGACGTGGCCATGGGTCGAAACGCCATGGGGAACACGGACTACATGAAAAGTCAATGGATAGCCAGCTGTGTCTGTGTTTGTCCCGTGGACGCCGACAGATCAACAGACTGAGTAGCCGTGGCCATGGGTCGAAACGCCATAGGGAACACGGACTACATGGAAAGTCAATGGATAGCCAGCTGTGTCTGTGTTTGTCCCTTGGACGCCGACAGACCAACAGACTGAGTAGCCGTGGCCATGGGTCGAAACGCCATGGGGAACACGGACTACATGGAAAGTCAATGGATAGCCAGCTGTGTCTGTGTTTGTCCCTTGGACGCCGACAGATCAACAGACTGAGTAGCCGTGGCCATGGGTCAAAACGCCATGGGGAACACGGACTACATGGAAAGTCAGAGACACAATGAACATCTTAAGATACGCGCTTGGGACATGTGCTTTTTTGGCGGGAAAAGTAGAGTCCAATAAAGTAGAATAAAACGCAAGCAATATATACAAAATATAGAATGCGATGGTCAGAAACATCAACCAATGCGACACTACTGACCGGGAGTCTTGTAGTTCTTTGAAAATTTTGAAAACACTTCCACTCTGTAAACACGTCTTCTGTGTTGTCCATACAGAAATTTTTTTAGAGGTTTTCAACAACTATGTTGTGACGTCACAGCCAAGGGAGATAACTGCATAACTCTTTTAAGCATACCACTAGGGATAGCTATGACTTAGTTAAAAAAATTCATTTCCATTCTGTATGTGTCTGTGGAATCCACAGGAATAAGGCAACCATAATCCAGAGGGAATGTTTACGCCTATAATTGTACATGAATTCTGCATCGGCCCTCATATCTATTTCTCATATGACATCACAGAGATGCGCCGCTCTGATTGGTTGAAATTTCGTTCGCGGGTGAGAATTGTGCACTGTTGTCAAAAAGGTTGATTTAAGTTCATTAAAGATCGAAATGAGTAGTTTTAATGACAGGGTTTCATTTATAACGATGCCAATTAGTGATTTATGTATTTGTACCCCCCTAGAGTATATGTGATCATTAAAGTGAAAGCATACATGGTGTTATGCATGAAAAATAATTGAAAAAATGTGTTATTATGAATTTATTGTTTCCACAATGAGGTTTCTGGTCCCCTGGTCCATCATCATAAATCATTGAGAATTTGCTCACCTCACTCAAGAACATGAGTAAGCAGAATCTTCAACGCATCCTCTCCTATGTGGAAAGATCACTTGTTCCAAACTAAGGTGATATCACAAGTAGAAAGTCCATACAATAGTGATAATACAAATGACCTTTAAAGGCACTCCTGACCTTGAGCTATGACCAGTAGCCTTGAACAAGTAAACATATTTGTTCACTATTATTTGACAAAGTTTGGGGATTTTTCTGAATGATAGATTTGTATATCTCATTGCCAGATATAAATGATATAAATGACAGCATATAAAAATCTTTAATGGTCACATGCAACGTAAAACACAACTTTGCAGATTCTGATACCTTTCGGTATGGACTTAACGAAACAAATCATCAAAAATGCAAATTCAACTTATAAAGTTGAAAAATAACGCGATGAAAAAAACCCACACGAAATCAGAGTTCAAACGATTCACTAATTTTCCCCAAGCGCTTGGGGGGGAAAAGTGGTTTCAACAGCTGGGCTGCACTGGGCAGCGCTCACAGTACATGCACAGTGAAATAGGTTTGCACAGCTTGGAAGCAGGTTGTCCGGTGAATACTCGGTGAAGGCTTTGGTGTGAGCTATTTTTCTAATGTTTTGTTGATATTTCACAGGCGCGAGCTTTTTATATGTTATGACAGTAGATTACCGATTTAACTGTTAATATAATTTCATTTGTCTATGTCACCACACGTTCTTCTTACCGAGTCACTTTCTCAGTTCGATACTTAAAAGCAATGTCTATATTTAGCGCTGACAGAATTTCTAACTGTGATATAGATATGTCGTTGTCACAGACAAAACTCAATGTCTGTTTCATTGACACCTATGTGCCTGCGTGCCTGTTTGCTAATGACAATATTCAATACACAACTTCGATCACTGACCACATGCAATTTGAACTTAACACCTATCAGGCTATACACCATAAACAAAACACATTGATTATGGCCAGAGTACACTTGAGTGCACACCCACCCACTCTGACTGGGTTCGGTATCCCGGCTGCTTCGTTTCTTGGGAAGTAAACCCAAGTACAAAATATTGCACTTTGAATTGCGATTGTAAGCTTATAATTTTGTTTATATGTTTCTTCATAATCAGCAATGTATATTATATGTCATGCATAAGTGATAATTGTGTGTTAATTATGTTTGATTTTTGGTTTCATGTGACCTTTAAAGTACCAACAGGAAAAGTAGTAGAATAAAATAACAAATGTGGAATGTTTAGATTCAATTTTTGCATCAAGTCTCAACCTCAGATGAAAGATCCCATCCACATTCAAAGATGTCCAAGATATTTTTATGGATTAAACTTCTTTTTTAATTTCTCTCTAGCGTTTGAGACCATTCCAGGTCCCTTCATCAGGTGAACTGGAATGGTCTCAAACGCCAGCAGAAAATAAAAAAGAAGTTTAATCCATAAAAATATCTTGGACATCAATGTACAACTTCTAAATGCCACTGAAAGACATCACATTCAAAGAGACTGAAAATTATGTTTTGACCGAGCATGAACAAAGAAATGTATACATCTTATATAAGACCAAGCTAATGCCAGACTTACATGAGCACACCATCGGAAATTGTGATCCTTTTGCAGATGCCAATCCCGAACCTTGGTTTCAAATAGATCTTGAATGTCCTTGTCAACAAAGGTGTTCAACTGCAAATAAAATCAGAATTCAAAATCCATCTATATTCTATAAATATGCCTTTGAGAAATTTGTGAAGTGTAACAACTATCTCATTTACTGTCTTGGCTGCATGTAAAGGGGGCAAGGGTACCTAAGCTGATGATCAGCTTTACCAGCCTGACCACCAAACCCCTTTTGCTGAATTGTATTTTTAATCTAGAAATTGATATTAATTAACAATGGAACATTAGCAACAATGATAATAATTCTTAGAATACTACCTCTAACACTTTATTGCCTTATTTCCTGAAACATGTTTCTGATCCACAGTTTTAATTGAATAAAAAATCATTAATTCCATGGTTTTGTGTTGTCTTTCTTCCCAATGGCTGATTGGCTCAGAGCATCCCAAAGCTAGGTTCGGAAGTCAACCATAAAACTCACAAATCTAAATGTTTACTGATAGACAACTATACCTGCATTTGGTTGTTGTGCAAACGCTCGAGAACATCACTTTCTGTTGTATTTAATGTTTTGGGGGACTAAGATGTAATTCCTGGTTGATGGTACCTCTGATGAAGTAACAATGCCAACCTGATGATGTCAATTCTGGTAAACATTACACATGATGACATCATGATGATCTCACATACCAGCAACATAATCTGCAGCGAAACTGCTGAGGCAAAGACAGAATCAGACTTCCAGAAACATCATTCCGTAATGGATAAGATAGAGCAGTTGGCATGAAGTGTGGATGCTATGGCTGCTACTTCATGCAGAATAGGTGCTGTTGAAGGAGTGTGTCAAGCAGCTTTGTAGACTGCTGCTCTCATCCAAAATGATGACGTTCTTGAGACTTCAGTAGAAGTGTTGGGTGATAGAGGTATGAAAAGCCTCTTGAACTTTTCAGGTATATGTGAAGAGCTCTGACTGGACAGAGTAATAATAAACAGACATGACAGCTGGGATATGGAAGTGTCTATCAGGCTGTCCTGGAAGCTGATTCTTTACTTCGAATAATTATCTTAATCCCAGATGGACTGAAACATGATTGCCATAATCAATCTTGTTTTGTTGACGTCGATAGTGTGACTGTAGAAAATGCCAGGAGAAATAGAGTCTTCTGAGTCAAAAACTCTGTCAAAGTCAAAGTCTGAATAGGTTCATAACACTGGGAGAGCAATGAGTTGTGGAACTTTGGTCATTTTAACTCAAGACTGAACTGATAGTTGCTAAATAAGTGGCTAAAGTAGAACCATTGAGATTTCTTGTACTTCTCAGATGACATAAATATTTTGCAAATTGATTAGTAGCCTTCATTGCCATGAACCGCTTCAATCTTGGAAACTGATCATAAGTCATCCATTTAAAATCACAGAGATCTTCTATGTTCTAAAGAGACAGCCTTGGCTACTCCAGCAGAATATCATCTTCTGATAAGACAGTTCTAGAAGGTTGTTCAACACGCTCCTGTCTTGAGTGAGGGTGTATGGATGAAGAAGAAGCTTTGGGTAATTTGGAAGCTTTAGAAAATGGTTTTCCTACTGCAACCATCAGACTGGGAAACCAGGTTCTAGATGGCCAGTAAGGTTCAATTGTCTGCCAGACTCTTGAATGATCACTGGTGGAGGGAATGATGTCTGTTAAGACCTTCAGTGGATATCACTAACACATCGATGGTCCATGCCAAAGTTTGGAACTGGAGATAAGATGGCTGTTATCTCTTTGATTAATCTTGTTGCAAACAGGCTATCAGCAGACAACCGTGATCATGAACGGTTGAAATGCTTCTGGATTTAACATCTGTTCTGTTGGTGAAGGCTTCATTGGCCTGGGCAGTGCATTTGGTATCATATTTCTAGCTCCTGGAAAGTGTCTTGCTCATATTCTAAGGTTGAGACTGTCTGTCAGGTTGTAGGGTTGAAATGTCAACCACAGAAGACTTGCCACCCTGTTTTGCCTTGTAGGTTGACCTTGATGCAAAAGGTTACAACTATACAGATCATCAGGAACCTGTTCTTTAGTTGTTGAGCCCAGTGAGACATGGCTCTGATTACCACTTAGAATTTTAGTTGGTTAATGTGAAGACATTTCTCTTCTCGGATCATAGTCTTGCTGTCACTTCTGTGTTGAAGTGAGCTCCCCAAACTTGCAGTGAAGCTTCTACAAATAGATGTAGGTTGCAGAATAATTCTTCTAAATAATTTCTTCTGTGGACATTCAACTTGACAGTCCACCAATGAATGTGTTTCTTCAGATGTGATGGAAGATGAACCTTGAATCCTGATGATCCTGAAAAGTTAATTAACTTGAAGTCTGCCTCTCTGCTTAGAATAACTCATGATTTTTATCCAACAATCTTCTGGTACTTAAATGTGGTTTTCATTGAGAGGAATCGATTCCTATAAACTAAAGATCTTGTGAAGGTAAAAGGTCCAACTTCTGATAGTTGATTAACCAACCTAGTTGAGTTAAAAACTGCAGAGAGAAGTTAAACTGATGTTTGATTTGCTCTGTTAGTTGATGAGTCTGAATCCCCTCATCAAGGTAGAAGGCACAAAGGATCCCTTCTTGTGAAGATAAGTGAGTGAGTTTTGTTTTACACCGCATTCAGCAATATTCCAGCTATATGGCTGCTGTCTGTAAATAATCGAGTCTGGACCAGACAATCCAGTGATCAACAGCATGAGCATCGATCTGTGCAATTGGGAACCGATGACATGTGTCAACCAAGTCAGCGAGCCTGACCATCCGATCCCGTTAGTCGCCTCTTACTACAAGCATGGGTTACTGAAGATCAATATTCTAACCAGGACCTTCACGGGTCTGTGAAGATAAGCCACTGTGGATTTGATTACCATGGGCGTATATATTCCAGAAAGCAGCGCCTTCATTTTAATGTTAATCTTGGTACATGAAGCACAGGAACCTCTTTGATTTTTTATGAAGGAGGATGTGTAAAATGCCATCTTGAAGATCTATGCTTGCAAGAAAACTGTTTGACCTCATCATTTGCCTCAACTCTGGAAGATGGAGCATCTTGAACTTCTGTGGTTGTTGAAGATACTCCTTCATGTTGTAGATTTTTTAGAATATCTTGCTTGAATTCTTCTGTAGTACCAGGAAGATTGGAGAATTAAACCCTGTAGTTAAGTCTTCTGGTTGAATGATGTCTCCCGTTTCCTTAAGAAAAGTAAACATGTAGCTTCTGACAACTTTGGCAGAAGAATCTCTGTACAAACAATCCTTGGAGCAGGGTGGTTACTCCTTAAGCATTGGACTGTAGCCCCTCTTGAGAATCTTCAGTACAAATGGGTCTTCTAGAAGCTCCAAATGTCCCGTTAAGTTGTCAATCTTCTTCTGTCCTCAGGTTTCTGAGTAACGACTTCTAAATTGAGTTCTCTGCATCGACTGTCTTTACATGGAGTTCATTTTTTGTACTGACTTAATCTGGATTTGATCTTTAGAAACTTTAACCACTTCCCCAGGGTTGATGTAGTAAGGGATCCGTGTAGAGGCCCAACCAGTTCAAAGAATGATCTTCTGGTAGTGGTATTTTGTGGTGCTAACTTTTGATCTTTCTACCCTTTAAGTATTAGACTTCATGAGTAAGAATGTTTCATCAATCCCTGGCACTTTGCAGAAAGCCTCCATGTTGTGTAATGGAAATTGGCTTCATTAGAGGTAAAGTCAGCTTCTTGATGTCTTCACCTTTGACCCTCCCAAGAGGGTGAAGATATGGGTAAACCATCCACAGTACATGCCAGTAGTTCATGGTCTTCATAAATGGAAAGTTTATCTTCATCTTATGAAGAATCCCCATTGAATGATGATTCAATATTATCATCATCTTGAATGCACCTTAATGAATTAAAATTCAATGCATGAGGCCACATCTTGATGATTCTTCAAACACTGACGAAACTGATGTAGACTGAATAAATGGTTTCTCTATCCCTTGCTCTTGATGCTGTTGATGTTGCTGAAAGTTAAGTAGTACTTGTCTTGGGATGCCTTGCGTAATGCCTGAGAGCAGCGTGAAGCTTTGCGGCTGAGTGAAGGTTTGAGGCTGTGTGATGGTCTGAGGCTGATGATGCTTGAGAAAGCATAGGTAGCTGCATGAATGATGAGTGGCCTTCAAACAAATCTGGTTGTACAACCGTTGGAGCCTTTGTGAAAGGTAGATATTCTACGTCTGCTGATGCAATAATCTTCTGAGTGTCCTCCGTGCAGGTCTCAAAATCTTATTCTAATGTTGAAGTGATCAAAACCCCTGAAGTAATTTTGATCTCCAAGACAACTGATAAGATCTCCAAAGGGCTTCCAATAAAGCCTCCTCTATTACAAACTTCGGTTTAATAGCCAGTGGAGTTTATGGATGGGTCGTGTATGGATCAGATAGGACTTGGGGGACCCCTATTTCTTTATCTGGGGTCCTGGAGTGGAGCTTCTTTGTCATCTCCTTTTCTTGGCCTTTTCACATGACCAGGGTATATTATTAAAAACTGCTCGTGATAGGGGTTGACAGCAAGGAGTTTCAACACACTCCCACACTCCATGTAAGGATCTCCAGTGGACATTAACTTCCCACTGGTTGAGCACAATTTTAAGTGGATGTAGGGGAGCAAGATTTGGAGACATTAAATTTACCATGATTACATGATGAAAGAAAGCAAAACATTCAAAATTTTGTCAATATTTTTTCAGAGAACGTGTAAACACATGCGTGCAAGTGAGCCACAGGAAAAATTGTTAGGCTTCTGTTAGCACAAAGAGGACCACTAGAAAGAAAGACAATGCATTACCTTATAATACCAATAACATTTTAATTTAAGCTAAGCCTGTGGATTCAGAAACAACTTCAGGAAAAAGGCAATCAAGGGTTAGAGTGTAGCATTCTAAGAACTATTAAAAATATACCTGCAGAACATTCAGTGAAACCATTAAAAACTTCAGAACCCATTCTGATTGAGGTTCACAAAACATGTTTCTTGAGTTATTGTTTAAACACAGTTTTCTTCTAGCTACAACCTTGATATTCAAGATTAACAAAACACTTCCCAGAGCTAATTGGGAGATATACATGATTAAAAAATCATACCCCTGAATGTCCAAGCTATGCATTGTTTCAAATAGGGTGTCAACAGTCAAATTCAGAAAAAGATGTAAAGCATCGCTATGTACATTGGTATCTTAATTTTTAGGAAACTATTTAGCACTTAGAAAGAATACATTCATATGATAACATTATTAACAAAATACAAAACAAGAAGACAAGAAGATCTTAGTGGTAAGAACAGCAGGGTGCTGATGAAGACATACCATGAGCCCAAGAAGATTGAGGTAGTCTGACACATTTTCATCGTTGAAGTCAGGCAGACTGCATACTGGACAGGTCCAGTTTCGAACATGCTTTTCTTTGATAGAGATCTCAAAGTGCTTACGGAGACATTCACGACACATCTGACACTGACAGATGTTCAAGTTCATCATCTGCAATGAAACACATGAGACTGACACTGAGAAACATTTCAGATCATCATCTGCAATAGATAACTGGGAGTTCTGTGAATAACAACAAAATAGACTGCAAGTTCTGTCAAAAACAGAAGCAGACCTTTCAATACCCTTTCTGGGAACTTGAAATACAATCACAAATCAGATTCAACATGTAATGTATGTGCAAGTACACTGGAAAACAAAGCAGTTCCTTCACTGCCCAAGCCCCACATGGCTACAATGTGTGAAGCCCATTTCTGGTGTACCCCACTGTGAAATTGCTGGAATACTGCTAAAAGCGGTGGAAAACCAAACTCACTCACTCACCGCCCCAAAAATTATTATGTACCTAACCAAAACCCATTTACACTGTCTCACCATAATCTGAAAACACTTTAGCATAATTATGCCATTGAAGTAGCAGTTATATTATAAGACAATAAGACAGTTATATGCAAATTGTATTTAATGACGTCACTTCCATATTTGGAAATAAAAGCCACACAGTCATATGAAATCTGCTAAAAATAAAATCAACCGACCTCAAATTGAAATTAAAATCAAATTCCAACTACATCATGAGCAAGTGTTAACGAATCACTATCAGATAGTGATAATACTTGGTGCAAAAGGTGACATGTCCTCATCAAACAGAACAATATAAGCAGACATGAGTAGACAGCGCAGTATTTCTCGGTTTCATAAAAAAATGCAAATCAAAACTGGATTAAGGGAATCAAAGTCATGTGATGCTACTGATACTACCTAATTAACAAAACTTAGACAAGAGTGACACATTATTTTTTTCAAGTGGCCAGAAAAAATCAAATGAGGAAGGGGATGAGGTGGGGGTGGAGTTGGGGGAAAGAGAAAGGATTACAAACTAAAATAGCTAATCACCCATGTCATTCATCCAAAAGTCATTGTCTAAAAAAATCATCTTTTTCCTTACCCACATAAACAGCCTTACAAGGAATTGTTCATTTTTCGTTTAAAAATTGAAAATTCTCCCCCTATTCAAACTGTAATTTATGACATAACACATGATATGAAACAGCCTTACAAGAAATTGTTCATTTTTTGTTTAAAAATTGAAAATTCTCCCCCTATTCAAACTGTAATTATTGACATAACACATGATATAATGCATTAACAAAATGGCCTAAATATTTGGCACACAAGGAAAGACCCATCTAGACCCATCTGCACACTCCTATTCTTCGTCACTAAACAGCTAGTAAAATCAGAAACTTGACATCTACATTATTGGTAATAGTTGTGTGCAGGGTAATATATTTTAGTTTCTTGCTGTGCCATAAACACGGTAATGACCTGGTCTTGGCAAATGAAACAGAATATATGGAATACTGACAAACATGTGCTGACAGCATATCACAGTCACACAGTAATTTATAAGTCTTTAGTTAAATCTAAGTCTACATAAATTGCATACCTTGCTCATTGGAAACTTTGACATGCAAATGACACATTCTCTTTGAAGGTAAATAATGGAGCTGCGTCTATCCTGGCAATTACGCACTGCTTCCACCACATCCTCTAAGGTGTATTCATAGTCACTCTCTTGCTTCAGTTTTTCAAGGTCATTGTCAAGGATTTTGACAACAATTTCTGCTCTTCCCCAACTCTGAAGCCTTGCTTCAACCAACACTGTACGTATTCTTCTCTGTAAATAGAGACTGAACATAAAAAAAATCCACAGTACTCTCCTTTAAGAAGCATATAGAAGTTGAGGTTCTTGAGAGGCATTTAGAAGTTGGTGTTCAAGTAAAACGCAAATATTATGGATGACATCTTTTCTGAGCTATTCCTTTCCCCTTCGTCACAATTCACCTGACGAAGGGTCAAGGAATAGCCCAGAAATGGTGTGACATACAATAAAGAAGAAGCTGTCATCCATAATATTTGCATTTTACATATAGAAGGAGTACAAAGTAAGGTTAAGATATATGGATAGACAACTTCTTTATGTACAATGACGACCAAAGTTTTGTGTAGATTCTAACACCGTTTTCACATCACCTGCATGATAACTGTGTTTGAATCTACATCCAAATGTTGCTCTTCATTGTAAATAAAGAAGTTGATCATCCATATAATTTATTCTTGCTTACTCATCACAGTACTTGCTTCCATATATATATTCATCAAAGGTACTCATTTATTTCATCAAATCATTTTCTTGTTAAATGTTCTTGACATTATTCTCTTTACTGTGCAGTAATGTGTATGTTGTAAACTCACATATCATGTAATATTTATTTATAACTCACCTTGTCACTATTTTCGTGGTAATATTATCATTGTCATCCATTACCAGTTTACAATAATGATACTAATGATAATAAGAAGACATGGTTTGTGTTTTTGAACTTTACCACGACATTCATGCCCTGAAAACATATACCAAATTTGGTTTTCCTGTCTATAACAGGTATTGAAAAATCTGTTCTCATTGGAGATAATGTATACTACTGACAAAAAAAAAGGGAACTGAAGAAATGACAGTGAATGTGTAATTGCTCCAAATGTCCACAAAATCAATTTCAGGCGTGAAGTTCAATATCTGGTGTGTTCACAATGTTGGGCAACACATACAAGACACATTGATGGCATACTGTTGATTAACCTCCGGATGGTTGCCCTTGGTATTGCCCACCATTCTGCCTGAAGAGCTACCCCAAGCTGGGCCAGGTTGATGGGTTCGGGGTCCCTGGCGTACACATTCCAGCCAAGAAGGTCCCACAGATGCTCAATTGGGGACATGTCTGGGGACTTAAAGGGTCAGTCTAATACATGCCCTCTCGGGAGATAAGCGGTGATGACTTGGGCACAATGTGGTCTGGCATTATCATCTTGGAATTAACAATTCCTGCCAATAATTCTAGCCAGTGGAGCCATGACAGGATGCAAAATGTTGTCAACATATAGCTGACCAGTCAATTGTCCATTGCCTGTCGTGTAAATACTCCCCACACCATAACACTTCCGCCCTCATACCGATCATAGTCAATAATTGCCGCTCTGGCATACCGCTAACGTTTTCTGCCATCTGTGAATCGGAGGCAAAACCTTGACTCATCGGAGAACATGGTATAACGCCAATGGCGCAAAGCCCTGAGGCTGCCTAGCCCACACCTATGGTGAGCTGTGAGGGTGACTCCCTTCACAAGACGCCTTGCTTTCAGAAGGGCTTGATAGAGTCGATTCTTTTCGGTTGATACTGAAATTCGTCGTCCAGTTAATGTACGGAATTCCCTATTGATAGCAAGTGCTCATTTGAACCTTGTCCCACAGGCATGAAATTACACTTTTTGATATACCCACTTTTGGGGCAACTTGGCACAGTGGTGTTCCCCACTCTATCATGACCACAATTCTATATTTTGTCTGTTCATTGAGATACTGCCTCCCTCATAGGTATTTTTCAGCGTGTGTTCACCTCAATTGCATTAGTGATTGTGAGTTCTTCAATAAGTGGGCACAGTTTAGCTTCTGTGTGGACGTGCATCATGTGTTGTTCATGCATCATGTGCAATTTCATTGTGATAGGATGTTGCGTTCAGCTGCAACGCCACGGCATTGCACACGTACACCTCAATGTTAGCGGCATTCAAATTCTTAGTTCCCTTAATTTTTTTCTGTAGAATACACTAAGTCAAGAAACGTATGACAAGGGTCATAACTCTGTAACAAACTGTAACACGGTTTCCGTTTTCGAACTCCATCAAGGCATTCATGTCCTGAAAACAGATACCAAATTTGGTTTTCCTATCTATAACGTTTTTGAGACAATCTGACCCATCAACTTGTGCGGACGGAGCGCAAACCTATATTCCCCTCCTACTTCGTGGCGGGGATAATAAAAACAGCATTGTTTTGTGTTACATCACACACAATATGTTGCCTGAAATGTTTTTGTAAATATCTGATACAGCACAAGTCCAGGATGGTATTCAAACCGGCAATGGAAACTGTTCCCATGTGTCCAAGAAAGGAGACTTGACTGATCAAAAACACTTCTGCCTTTTCAAATGTTTGAATACACAATATAAAATATTCACAGGGTGCTTGACAAAACCATGTGTCATCCTACTTCTCTTCCAATGAAATACTTTTGCTGTGTCCTTTGGAGTAGTTGATTTTGACTGCCTGACAAAATGAATCATGTCTGACAACAGAGCCAACCACCCTGTTCCTAACTTAATTGTTTATATGGTCGATTCCAACGAAAAGTGTACACAGCTGGGTACAAGGTGTCCAAAATAGAATTGCTTGAACCTTGTAATTCTTTTTACCAATGCAAAGTCAACATATTTGCCTCTTATGAAAATCAGTTGCCATCACTAATCTCTAAAAGTGACAAGTTGGTGGATCAGTGAAGTTGAAGGCTCATTTTCTAAATTACCTACAAATACCAACATCATACCTTGTATATCCTGTGATTAGATGGACTGTATGTTGCCTGACATCCAAATTCACTGTTGTTCTGCATGCACAATATGTTAATGACCATAGAAACTCTGAAGCCATATTATGGTTTCTTTCATGTTTTATAACCTCAAAATAGAACCATTTTGGTACCTTTCTTTGGTGTAAGTGAGATAGCAACACTTAGTGTTCTTTTCACAAACAAATCATTATTACATATCTATCTTATTCATCTGAGAGACAACGGGTGGAACTTTCGGTAAGTACAACAAATTTGAAAATGCATCAATAACAATTTTGGGTGGAAGATAAAAAAATGTACTTGTAGGTAACAAACATCACGTAATTCCTTGTAGTTCATAAATGTTCATATATGTCAAACTAAATCGTAGCTGTTTTATTAAAACATCGAACAGTTTGGAAATTACTTTCTAAATGCATAGGACATGTGAATGAAGATTGTTTACAACCAGTTTAAGGCTTTCTCTTTGTTTTGTCTCAGTGTATGTCGGAAAGTAGCAATGTCATTTTAACTGATGGAAATATACTTCTCATCAAAAGTTTAGACTCACTAGAAACACTCACTATATGTTATGTGTGTGTGTATATATATATATATGGTCACATCGAAGATTGATTTCTCCGCTAACTTGGGGGAACCAACTGCAAATCTTATGCAGATGAATTGCATGAGGAACATGCATCAAATTGCTGAAAAGCATGTGCAGTAGATGTAAAAGGGGGATTCTGCTGCACATGCGGTTTATTAATGTCTGAATGCTGTCCTATGGTAGGATGAAACATGGTGGATGGGTTGTGTGAGCATCGTGGGATGAGTCCTTGTTTTAAAGTAGTTAAAAAAAAAAAAAAATTTTTATTCGGGAGTGATTCGAACGCCAGAACTCAGTATCTAAAGTCCAGCATGTTCCCTCAGCGTACAGTGCATTAAACCTATAAATAGCTTATGCGCCTTCCAAGCTGATGAAAGCCAATTCTAAAATCATGAATTGTGGCTTCTAACATTTTTTTCAGCGTCCAGTGATGCATTTATAGTGTTCAGCGTTGTTTAGACTACCTACGAGCATCGTGTTTGTATTTTATTAGAGCTTTATTCAAGGTGAAAAGCCTCCCAACATTTTCGAAGTGAGAAACGGACATGTACTGACTGATTTGTGCTAGTATAGACAGAGCTCAGCTTAGGCATGCAATTCAATAATGGATTGTGGTTTCTACAAATATTTTCACCCTTTTTTTTTTCCCAACTTTAAGCTGATGAGATGCAGTTTTGGAGGTACATAAAAATTTGTGAGCGCAATTTTTGTCTCCAAATTAATTGTCACCTTGTTGAGACTTGTGTAAGCATTGACGTCTTTCTGTATATAAATCTCGCAAACATGATTTTGATGTTTTCAAGGCCAACGGAGTTTGACTCCCAGTAATAGGTCAACATCTTGGTCAGGGGAGGCTACGATATAAAGTGTTGAATTGGGTGGAATCTCTTGTAAGACAATGGACACGTCTTCGAATTCAAACACCAACTGTAAACTCGTATTTGGGCTATCCGGTTGACTCACTAGCAAATGACCCGCTTTTCTAGGGATGAGGTTCACGAGCACACTCCTTCTTTGCGAGGGGACGTAAGCCGCGATGACAATCCCCTTATTGAGGACTTTCGTTAAATAATGATCCATCGCCTCTGCAAACACATAAGGTGAAACGAGGGCGATATCGAGTAGCCAGTTGATTTGGGACATCAACGTCCATTGGTTATCATCAGTCAAGATGAACTGGTAAAACATGTTTCTTGAGAGACCTCGGGTCTTGACATTGTCTAAATCGCCAAGATTGCCATCGAATGCCAGTGTAGCAGCCATTTCTTTCCTGGTCTAAACTTTCCCCAGGGAGAATCTGGCCTAGGCCAAACTATCCCCGGGGAGGTTTTGTCCTAGGATATTCTTACCCCGAAAGTTTATGCTAGGCTAAAGTCCCCCTGGCCAAACTCTCCCCCTCCCCTTGTTTAAACTAGGATATTTTGTTCTGGGTTTTTTTGTGAAAAGTCGGGAGATTCTGGCCTAGCCAGGCTACTTCTTTGCCACCCTTGCTCTTATATCAAAAGGGGTGATTCTGGCCTAGCTAGGCTACTTCTTCCCCACCTTTGCTCTTATATCAAAAGGGGTGATTCTGGCCTAGCTAGGCTACTTCTTCCCCACCTTTGCTCTTATATCAAAAGGGGTG